CACATAAATATGATGCTCATGACGTGTCTTAGTAAATGATTTAGGGTATAACACCGAGGGTGTTATAGCCTGGTCCGCTACCTCCCTCGATGACGGTCTCTAGCAGTGATATGTAGAGATCGGGTAGGGGTGACTCCCCTAGTACTATCTACGATGACGGTGGTCAGGATGTGGATTTCTGGAATCGGTTGTTCCCCCACTCTGTGTTGCGTCGTACGAAAGAAGGATGAAAACTGTAACGTCCCGCCTCTCCGAGGCCGGGCCCGCTTACATCTGACAGCTTCTCTAGGATATAGACTGCCCTCACAGACCAACACATGTCTTTTCTGCGCACTTTGTCCTCACTCGTGCGCACCCGGGAAGAACTTCCCGGTCGGTCACCCATCGCTCCAAGCCAAGCACGCTTAACCTTGGAGTTATTTGTAGATGGCTTCCGGAAAAGAAGTTGCAACTTATTGGTATGAGTATCCTATTAATCCTGTTAAGCCCTGGGCCGGGATGTTACAAAAACCGCATGTTGCAAAAGTATGTTTCAAATGTTTCAGAGGTATGTTGCAAGCGTTGTATATCAATGTTGCAAAAGTAGATCGAGATGTTGCACATGTTGTAATGGCTATACACGTATCTTTCAAGTGTATGTTCCAAATGTTTCATCTGTTCTAGACGTATGTTGCAAGTATATTTATCTGGATGTTACAAAAGTAGATCTGAATGTTGCATATACATGCATGTTGTAAGCATATGTTTCAAGTGTTTTAGGTGTTTCATACGTATGTTTGCAAGTGTTTTATCTAGATGTTGTATATGTTTGCAATGGTTTTCAAATATTTTTCAGTGTTTTCGCAAGTGTTTCATACACTTGTTTAAAGTGTTTCATCTGTCTTCTTTTGTACTCCCTATGTCTCATTTTAATAGTCATTTTAGCTTTCAACCTGGTGCAGCAAAGATTCTTTGGACCTGGAGGACGTTGCGTGATAGTGAATGTAGACACTTTACTACAGTGCTAGAACGACTATTAAAACGGGACAGATGGAGTGTGTTGCAATTGTTGTATCTGGATGTTTTAAAAGTAGATCGGGTGTTGCACGTGGGAAGCGACTAGCGGTGTGGACGACGTTCGGGGTGGCGCGAGCCCACTGCTGGTGCGCTCGCGAGCTCCCTGTGCGGGCACCGTTCGGACGCTAGCGCCCAGATCAGATGTCCAGCGCTAGCAAGTCTCATTACTTATTGCTAATAAATTAACATTTGTGTCAATACATTACTAATAATAAAAGTGTCAATGACAAATTATTGTCTATCGCTTGCTATTGGCTCTTTAAAATTAATTTTTGAGAAATATATAATTTTCTACATATGCACATGTTACTTGACTATTCAATTTTGTCTCATTTTGCTCTATCTCTGTACCATTTCCAACATTTGAAAAAATCTGCATTCACATCCGCATTCACATCGTATATTGGCCCTATTCGCTTTTCTTATAATCCATACTTTTCAGCTTGTTTTTTCAGCCGAAATAATGTTTTTATCTGACAACAAATCAGCCGAAACAGTGTTTCGGCTTGTTTTTTTCAGCGAAACGAACCGGGCAAATTAGAATATGGGAGACATTATCCGCTCTGATGCGAATCTGACAAAGAAAAGCATAATAGGATATGAGAGGCATTGTCTGATTCGTTTTTATCTCTATACACAACTACACCTTACCACAACCACCCTGGGCCCTGCAGTGCAACACGCTCGCCAGCTTGACCAGCGCAGCTTAACCAAGCTGCGTTGATATGCTAGACGCTAGATCCTGCACTCTAAACGGTTAGCAACCATCCGTTTATGGTTTATATTGATTGTATTGTATGGTTTAAACGTTTTACACTTTAATAGTAAATATGCATACAGAACTATAAATACTATAGTTTCACGCTACCTTTTTTTTTCCAAGTGCAAACTGAGTCATACACAAAGTTGCACAATTATACATAGAGCAATAAAGAATTAGTCATACATATACACATAGCAACATACTTACATAAACAATTAGATCTTAAATATATAGCTCTCACATGAATAAATGCCATTGCATATTATAATTGACGAAGACACTCATTTCTTATATTGACAAAACACATGTCACAATAGTCTACACTTAGCTATTGTTTAAGTGCACTATTTAAAATGCTTTTAACCTTGTTAATTGTCTGTAAACAACTTTACCGAACAAAGTGAACACTCACCAAGAGCCATCACCATCATCAGTAAAATTCTGGTCCAATGCCCGCCCCACCATCACACACCATCGATGTTGTCTCGCCTGTTGTAAAAAAAAACCCGATGTTGGCTCGCCGACAAGGCGACGTTGCTATGCCGGGCTCCATCATCAGTTCGTCACGACCAGCGACCATCACCAATTCACCAGCTGATCAAGGAGGTGCTCGACATGGATAACCTATCACCAATCCGGGCTGCTGCTGAATCACGGTGTTGTCTTCTGAGCCCAAGGTACTAAATAGCGTATAGCGGGTAGCGGATTAGTGTCGAGGTAGCTGATAGCGGATAGCAGGCGCTATTGAGGTCGCTAAGTTCCAATAACGGCATATGATAATTACATATAAATTTAAGCGTATATATCATGAATAATGAGTATAAGTAGACATCTAACTATACACAACTCAAAGAATTGATGTCTCACGTACTTAAATTAAGAAAAAAAACATAGTGTTCCACAACTTATATAAGTTACCGTATATCAGAATTTATAAATAAATAGATTATCAAAGCCATAAATAATTTATAAGACCATCATTCGTTATCATTGTTAAAAGTAGGAATATCATGGTCACATTAAACATCTGTGTATCTTAAGTGAATCAGAGTTATTTACTTGTTGCATACCATGCTATTGCGGCCGCTACAAAGAATTATGGAGTGCTATTGCGGCCCGCTAACTCAAATAGCGACGGCTAAGTTCTAACTTTGCTAAAACCAGTCCACTACGTCATAGCGGTAACGGTAGGAGACCGCTACCGCTATTGCGGCCGCTACCACCGCTATTTAATACCTTGTCTGAGCCTATCCTGGCCTCTGGGCATGTCTGCACCTAAACATCTCGCGTGCCTCCGACTTGCACCTACAAATCCCATCGTAATATTTTTATTTGCAGTTTCATTAGTCGCTTGAGTATGCAGCACCTAGTACTGCGTATTTCACTATACAGGTAGCATTTATTTTGCATTTTCATTTTTAAATTAAAGGATCCCTGACCTGAGGAAAAGGCCGCCGTAGTCAGATTTCTTCTACCGTGGATGATTGTTAGATATGTGTGCAAAATCAAAGCTACTGGAGCTGAAGAAACACTCTCAAATTGACTTGTCTAGGATGGCTAAACATATTAATTTGCAAATTCATAAACTCAATCTGTCACTTCCATCTCCACAGAATGCATTAGTCCAAGATTCAAAAAAAAAAAAATGCATTAGTCCCTCTTTAGATAGTCTTCCACACCAATTCCATCTCCAGAAATAACATTCATATCCCACCAGAAGGCTCCATACCAAAAGGGTTGCAGTAACATCACTGCAAAACTAAGTCAGCAACACAACCATAGTAACAACCTTTACTGGGCACAGCTTCAGAAAAGTAGCAAAACTACAACAAAAAATTATAGCCACTGTATGTTGCAGAACTTTTTATTTGCTGGCAGCTATTTCGAAACTACTCTGATGAAGAGTTTCTCTCCGATTGTGTGCATAACAGAATGCAGTGTAAATTTATATCAGCTACATTTGCAGAAAACAAACGGCTTCTCATCAGTGTCTGAACAGATGAGATAATGAGAGCACAGCATCTGAATACAATGCATCATATGACAAAAGCAAGTATTTAGTCCAAGGAGACTCCAGTGTTTACAATAGAGATGCAGTGGTTGGCAGTCAGTATCAGTTAACTAGTTTTCCATGCCAAACTCTGCTATGTCTTTCTTCATTTCCTACCCACAGAAGTTGAGCTTCTTTATAACTTTTGCATAGGCCAAATGCACCAAAGCAGGTTTCCGAAGTCTTCGTTTGGCCGCCTTAGACTGTAAGACCACAATTCACAAATTGAACATGTTCAACCAACTTTATCATGCATAAATACATTAGTGGTGAATACACTTATGAGCAATGACAACTATTAGTATAAGACGAGAGCGGTCCTACATGGATGCATCAAGACGTCGTGAATGAGTTCTGACGGTTTTCACAATTGCAAAGAAGAATCAAAATAGACTGGAAATAAGTATGCTTCTACTTTACTGGTCTACAACAGAAAATGCAGCCCAAGTATATTCAGTGTACTTTGTTAACAATTTGACAAGTTAATGCTTCAAGTTGCAGGGCAAGGAAAAGATATTTTATGAAGTGCTCAACTTGATTTGTGCTGGAAATCAATTACACTATATCACATAATAGGAGAAACTAGTAGATATATATTCCATGATTCCATCAAATACAGGTATTTTCCAATTAAATTATGCTGTACTGAATATCTATTCGAAAGCATGTTTTGTTTAACTACATAGTATAGTAAATGAAAACCATTCCTGCCAATACAATTAGCAAGGCACTCAATATGCTAGATTTGAAAATCTGTGCCACTCACTCCAATGTTCTACTTTAGTGAACTGTACAGACAAATCAATTTAGTTTCATGGTGCAGATTATAAGGATTGCTGAACGCAGCGTTCAGTTTGGTGTGGTTCACAGTGCATGGCAATCCATACCAGTCAATACCTCAAGCTAGTAGCATTGCTGTGATTGGTAAAGAAAAACATGGTGACTAAATTAGTCTGAAAATGTACCTTGAGGTGTGCATTATGGCGCTTGCCGGCCCTCCACCTGCGGACCTGTCCGTCTTTCATGGTTCTGAATCTGAACTTCATGGACCTAGCAATAAAAGCATAAAATCAGCTGCCTGAGGTGCCCGCCAAGAAGGTAAGAAGGGCACAAGGGAAAAGAATGGGGCGATTACGAGGGGGCCTTGATCTTGTATTTCTTGACTTTGGATTTGGTGGGCGTGAGCGGCGCGCGCGATCTCTCCTTCTTGGCGTAGTGCCGCACCTGCTGATGATGCGCCGCCTGCGCGACACCGTCCACGCAGGCAATCAGCATTATAAGGCGGTAGAAATCCAAACCAAATGAGATGAGACGAGACGAGAGCTCACCGGAGAGCGGAAGGAAGAAGCGATGGCCGGGTGAAAGAACCCCTGGAGAGAGTGGTGCCTGCGACAGGACAAGGAGAAAGGGACGGTAAAGGAGGGAGATTTGGGTATCAGGGGTGGCGGCAGCGGGCGGGCATGGGAGGCGACGGCGGAGGTGGAGGACGAAAGGAGGCGGCGGCCGAGGCCGCCGGCGGCGCACCACCACCGCCGCATCGATCTGCACCTCTCTGGCTCAGTTTTCTCTGCGTGTGTTTGGCGGGCCTAGGGTTCCTCCATTTCGTTATGCCATGTTGATCCATTCTTTGCTTTGGAGCCCATCGAACTTTGAGCACAAGGCCTGTTTCATTTGGTTTGGCCCGATTGTCTCACCTCAGCCTAGACCCGCCACCGCAAAGGGTGTTGTTATCTTTGCTTAACTGTTGAAACTGCTTTTTTTTAACACATTTCCTATAGTTCAGATACCTAACAGTTTTGTCTTTGTCTTTCTATAAAAAAAATTGGAACTTATTTATTGTGATTTGTGCTAATAGATTTGTACCTTTAAATGGAGATCTGATGGTTGTTACCTGTCGTCTGAACAAATGCTATATTTCAGACACCTGAAATATAGCATATCCTTTTTTTAAATAATCCTTCGTTGATACCTGTTGGAGTAGATTTTGCCTATTCTGTTATATAGTACATGTTTATTCTACATCGATTGTAGTAGTTATTTTACATTTTCTTTTCTACAAGGCCACATTTCGTTAATATAGTTGGATTTCATGTTAGTTATGATGAGTTAGAAGCTAAGGAGACTAATTCATAACATCCTACTAGCCTTATAGACTTATCAGTACAATCTCAACGAACGAGATGACTATCAACAGAAAAAACAAAATGCTTAGAAAAATTGCTTTTCTCCCTTTGGCCATGACAATGATACAATACTTGTTATTTTCTATTTGAAACACTATTTTTGATCTATTCTCCTTTTTGCACTTTTTGTGTATGTAGTGGACAGGAGTATCGTCTGAGTGTTGATCCAGCAACTTTCAGCCATGAAACATGCAAGAAATTGTTGAACAAGATAGACAGAACATGGACTCTGCCCAAGATGGATCTGGTATGTTAGTTGTATACGGTTTGTTTGTTTCAATGAACTACTTTTAATGTAGCAACGACACTTCTTTTATGTTTTCTAAGGTGCCACGACAATTTATTTAATGTTATAACATCATACTATGCAGGTGTTCTTTTCAATATATTTGAGAAACAATGGGTGCTTGTTTGTGTCAATACGTTCCTGAAACAAATCGTCTTCTTCAACTCTTTGAACTCCTCCAAGAACACCCCATGTTTCAAAAGTGCCCAGGACTTGGTAAGTAGCTTTTTTGCTTTTTGGGCGTTTGAAGTAGCTTTTGCTTTTATCTGTTGCACATTCATTCCTCATCCGTTGAAGTAACTCTTGTTCACCTGTTGCACGTGTATTCCTCATTTGTTTCATTTTCTTTCAGCCACTTCAGTGAAATGTTGGATTTACAAAACTGATGTCTCTCAATTTTAATGGATCTCCCGTACAAACTCTCCTCACTAGAAGAATTCATATGTTTTCCATTTAGCATGTTTATCCTTTTTATTATTGCCTAATGATTGTATGTTTACATTTGTTTGTTATTTTTTAAAGGTTTGTTTGTGAGTTGTTTACAATGTATTAGATGGATTCATGGGATGGGAAGATGATGCCGGTATGTGTTATCATTTTTAAAAATTTTATTGCAATGCCTATTTTGTCTCTAAATATTATTTTTTGTTTTTGTTTTCTCCCTACTAGGTGATGATGCCAAACTATAGCAAGCACATTGTTGTAATGCTCCTCCTATCATAACAGAACAAGATTGACTCCGAGGAGTTTGTGAAGAATCATTGACAAGTGGACAGAAGCAAGTTTCTGCTAGTGCAGTTTTTAGATTCTCTTTCTGTAAATAGGAGGGTGTCAGGTAAGATATGCATGGAAATAGGACTGGTCATTCGGTTTTAACTAACAATTCAGTTTGGTTTTTTGGTTTCCGAAAATTATGGTTTGTCAAGAAACATCTGATTAGTTTATCTCAAAATGAAAACCGACAGGTTCGGTTTCAGTTTTCTAGTCCGGTTTTTCGGTTCAAACCGAGGAAACCAGAATATGCTCCATGAGAGAGAACCAGAATGTGTTGGAGGATGAGAGTGTGCTAGAGACATTCCATAGGCTCAATGCCATAGTAAATGAGCTAAGGAACTTGGGACACAAGGTAGATGGTGATGACTTCTCTCATCGATTCTTGAGATGCTTGCCTTCACTATTCGATACTGTTGGGAATTTAACTTCGTCACAAAAACGCAGCCCCAAACTTTTGGAGTCAAATCTTTAAATTTCCATAACAATATTTGTTTGCAGGAAGAGGAAAGCGAAGACAACATTTCGACTTCGTAAGAAAAGGATCGACTTTGCTAAAATAAAGGCAAAGATCAAGATCAAAGCGAAGACAAAAGTTTGGCTTCGCTATCAGAAAATCAACTTCGCCGACCAATGATGTCAAAGAGAAGTAAAACAAGGCTAGACGAAGGCAAGAATTCGACTTCGCTTGGCATTATGAAGGTCAAAGGAAAAATTAATTAAGTCCAAAACAAAGATGTCAAGAAGACGGTGACTAAAAATTGAAGAATGAAGGCTTAGAAGGAGAAATGACCACTTCACCCTTGTAGTTGAAAAGGGTTGTAAACATTTGAGTTGGGGGGTAAATAGTCATTTTATGTAAAATACGAAGACCGGAGCCCTATAAATACCCCTCTGACATGTACAGTACGATCATGAAATGAATACAACTTTGTCTTGTGTTCAAACTTTGATGCTTGTGTAATTTGTTACCCAACATCTGGCGCCCACCTTTTGTGTGTGCTTAAAAACTCCCACGACCACGTGAAGCTAATGGGCAGGTCTAACAAGAAAGTTACCACTAGGGTAACCGAAGATGACCCACTAACAGTCGAAGACCAAAGTCTCGAAAAAGATAGACCCCAATACCCAAACTCTTTAAAGGCAAGCGAAACCAAAGAACAAAGACTCAAAGAATTAGAAGAACAAGTGCTGAGAAAGCAAAAAGAACTTGAAGAATGTCGCGCAAGAGCAAGAGAAAAGTCTCTCAAACAAAGAATAGAAGAAGTCGAAGTTAATCTTTGAGAACTAAATGAACAACTCCAAAATGCATGCCACGAAGTTATACATTTAGATGAACCAAATTCAGCAACAAAAGCTTCTCAAGACAAGAATTCCCAAAAGTCATTCATATCAATTAACACAAGCTCTCCCTTGTCAATAAACTTGCAGCTAGCACAATGACCCTTGGGGTACAAATTCAACATGATACCATCTTTCGATGGTCAATCTGACCCAAGGCAATTTCTGATGAGTTTTGAAGCCGCAGTAATTTCTGGAGGCGGCGATGAAACTATATTAGCAAAATCTCTTGTCATGGCACTTAAATGACCAGCACAACAATGGTACTCTTCGCTAAAAGCAAAATCCATACATTCATGGGATTAACTTAAAGTAAATTTGCTTGTTGACTTCCAAGGATTCCAACCAGCTGGCCTCACAGACATAGATCTGTTCAATTGCAAGCAACAAATCAAAGAGCCCCTGAGCCAGTACTTCAAAAGATTTATCCAAATCAAGGCACAAATTCCAAACAACCCAGACAAAGTGGTGATAATAGCCGCAATCAAAGGACTTTGAGTAGGCCAATGTGCTTCTCATCTTGCCCGAGAAAAACCAAGTACAGTTGCAGAGCTTTACGAAGTCATCCAAAAATATTGTAAATCAGATGATGATTACAGAAAAAAGAATTGAAGAAGAAAACAACTTCAGGGCTCAAATCAAGCAAAGCAACAACAACTTCCATCCTCAAAGACCAAACAACTATAAGCGAAGACCATTTACACCGCACAATCAAGTCAATCAAATCGAGAATGACAACAATTCAACAACTAAAAGTGATTATGCTCACCAAAATCAATATAACTAGCGAAGTCAATTCAATGAAAGAACATTTGAAAGAGGAGGCTTTGGCACAAGAGGAAGAGGAAGAGCATCTTTAAAACCTGAAGATATGTACTGCATTATTCATGGCAAAGGGGCTGGATATACATCTAAAATGTGTCCCAAAGTAAAGAAAAGCATCGAAGAAGCCCAAGAAAAAAATAGGGCACCAAGCCAGTCAAAAGTTGACAATCATGTGAGGGAAGAACAGCAAAGTCCTTATCAAACTTATTACCCAATGCACTATGGACATCCCCAAGCACTACTTCCAGGGCCACCTCCCACATACAGCTATGAACCCCTAGCAATGTATCATCCCATGCAAAATCAATGGAGGCAAAATCAATCTCAGTAATTAAATGTTCAATCAGCACAACCCGAAGCTTCAGTTGCAAATAACAACCCACAAAATAATCAAGTCAAGCAAGAGAATAACTCCCCATCAGTTTCAGCGGTGAACAATAATGCAATCATCCCAAGCAGAGGAAGAATATTAACAATCACGGGAGGAAATAGCATGGATCATGAAAATAACAGTCAAAGAAGAAACTACTTCTGAAGAGTAAATTCAATTTCAATGGAAGGCCCATATAAAAAAACAAGATCGTCTCATCTACTAATCACATTTTCAGAAGAAGACCTTCAGTTGAAAGATTACCCACATATGGATGCTATGGTAATCGAAGCAAACATTGATAGTTGGGCAGTTTCAAAAATATTGGTTGATGGAGGCAGCTCCGCTGACATTATATTCACATCAACAATTGACACCATGAAAATTGACCGCAAAATGTTAGGAAGAGTTGAGCATCCACTCTATGTCTTCGGAGGGAAAAAGATCCACTCAATTGGAAGAATAATTTTGCTAGTTTCTTTTGGAACAGTAAGCAATGCAAGAACAGAGCAAATAGAATTTGATGTGGTTGACATGTACTATACATACAATGCACTCTTCGGAAGAGGAACTTTAAATGCATTCAAAGCAGTCATAAGTTACTCATACTTATGTATGAAAATGCCAGCAATAAATGGAGTAATCATAGTACACGGAGACCAAACTGAGGCAAGAAACATTGAAAAAAATACACCCTAGGCCAGAAGAATGTTCATACAATTTCTAAAGAAGAAGAGAAAGAAGAAACAAAAAATGTGAAGC